TTGACTGCAGGCTCAATGAGCAAAGGACATGATCTGATGATTGCTTCTGTCAAACAGAGACACCCAGGGTCAAGGCAGAGGCCATATCTACTTAGCTGATCTTGCAGGGTTGTATGAGGATTAAATGCGATATGCCCAAGCAATCTATACGTTGATAGCAGCCTTAAATAAAGTATAGATGAATCGATTTGTGAATTAATCACATACAAACATAATTTCTCATTATCATGTACTGAACATCCTCTCTAGTGATTTCATATTTGTGAATAATGATATGGTCCTCAGGGACCAAGTGACCACTCATCTCTGCTTCCACCATGTAGAATCTCTATCCCAGCCCTATATTCAGAATGCCAGGTCAGCATGTAACCCAGCTCCATTGTGTGGACATTTTCAGTAGGACAAAGGCCCCAACATAGCACAAGCCAGCCCAGCAGCCCCTTTGGCTAGCTCCTGAGCCCACCCCCCCTTCTCTCTCTTTCTCTGGTTATGCTTTGCTGACTGCTGACTCCTGGCAAAGTCTAGAACAATCACCAAGCTCTGAGTGCATCATCCCTCTCCCATTTAGTTAAGAGCTCTAATTAGCTCTTGAATCAGGTCAGGGTCCCCACATGTTGGAAATGGGGCAGTATGGGAAGTAGAGTAATCAAGGGGTTGTCCATTCTATTCTTCCCTCCTCCTTCCTTTCCTTTCTAGAGAGTTGGATACAGCCTCAAGCCAGGCACATCAATGCTCAGTACGGGTCAGGTCTTGCTCTAAGTACTTTATATGTGCTGTATCATGTATTGGTATTCCTAGGGTTGCACCTTCTGTTTGTCTCCTACTTGTTGTAGTCTGTAACCTTCCCTTGGATGACCTCATCTACATCTGCCCCTCTCTTGAAATTTATATCCATATAACTACAGAACATTTTCGCTTGGTTGCCCCAAAACACCTCAAATTCAGCCTATCCAAAGCTTAACTAATTATTTTTTTTTCCATTTCAACATGGTTCTCCTTCTGTAATCCACATTATGTCAGAAACCTATGAATTAACTTTGACCCATTCCTCAACCTCTCACTCTCATCCAATCAGTCACTAAAGCTCTACTAATTCTTCCTCTTAGATAACTGGGCCATAGCATATCTCATCTGAAAACTCTAGTAGCCTCATACTGTTTGTCTGTTTCTACTCTTATCTACATCAATTCATTCTTCATGTTGTTGCCAGCATTTCCTTTTTATAAGGACCTGGCATTTGTCATTTCCTTGCGTTCCCTTCACCAGCTCTTAAATGTCTGAAAGTTTAAATTCCTCATCATATCATACATAGACCTTCATAATCCAGCCTCAACTTTTCCAACTGCCTTTTCATCCCCCGACTGTGGAGACTCTGGTAATATTATGCTTCTTGTGGTTCCTCAAACACTATTCTATTCCATAACCTAGTACTATAACCTAAACTGTTCCTTCTACCTCCAGTGTTCTTCCCCTTTTGTCTGTAGTTCTATAACTTCCTAATTGGGATGGATGGAAATGTTAAGAATTAATTATTTGTTAACAAGGCAGGCAAATTATCTGAATGATGAGACTAAGTTTATTGGATAAATGGTCAGTAAAAATGAAATAATGACAGGTAAAGCAATTTCCTGAATAGAGAATAAAGTAATATGTCCTTTTTTTTTTCTTTTTTTGAGGTAGGGGTACTGAGTGCTTTATCCCTAAGCTGCATCCCAGTCCTTTAAAAAAAATTTTTTAGACGTTTATGGACCTTTATTTTATTCATTTATTTATATGTGGTGCTGAGAATTGAATCCAGTGCCTCACACATACTAGGCAAGCGCTCTACCATGGAGCCACAACTCCAGCCCCTGCATTCCTTTTTATTTTTTATTTTGAGACAGTGTCTTGCTAAATTGCTTAGAACTTGCATCCTCCTGCCTCAGCCTCTGCTGAGTTGCTGGGATTACAGGCATGAGCCACCTGGAGCTGAGTCTCAAGTGATGATGTGAGGGATGTGTAGCTATTGCTTCTGCAATAGCTCCAGGATGGCACAGAAAGAAAAAATAAAAACTACAGAAAGAATACTGTAACCTCTCTCTTGTTAGTACCCAAATGCAAAAAAAAAAAAAAAAAAAAAAAAAAAAAAAAAAAAGACAAAGCAGAACTTTTCTGAAGGAAATTTCTCTTCCCATCGTTTTTTTTTTTTTTTTTTTCTCCTAGGCTTAAAAGACAACAAATGTAACTGGGCGTGATGGTGCATGCCTGTAATCCCAGCGGCTCAGAAGGCTGAGACAGGAGGATCGCGATTCAAAGCAAGCGGCAGAGGGCGCTATACAACTCAGTGAGACCCTGTCTTTAAATAAAATACAAAATAGGGCTGGGGGTGTGGTTCAGTGATGGAGTGCCCCTGAGTTCAATCCCTGGTACATAAATAAATAAATAAGACAACAAAGCGGGGGTGAGGGGTGGAGGGTGGTTGGGTGATGGACGTGGGGTGGAGGGAGGGATGAAGGGGAAGGGCAACAAATGAACCTCTTCTCTCATTGAAGTGGTTGAAAAGGCTGGGCCAGCCTGTCCCCTGGTGGAGATAATGTGTCACTACACTCCTCAGATATGGACACAAAACCCTCTCCCTTTATACTTAGTAGTCATTTATTCATCCATAAACAATGAGCATATATTCTGTGCCAAGGGGAATGCTGAAGCCCTAAGGCTCCGAGAACAAAAGATGTAATTTCCATTCTTAAAAATTCACAGCCTAAAAGGTATGGTCACACACACCTGTAATCCCAGCTACTTGGGAGGTGCAAGTAGGATGATTCCAAGTTCTAGGCCAGTCTGGGCAATTTAGCAAGACTCTGCTTAAAATTTTCTAAAAAATTCAAAGGAATGGGGATGTAGCTTGGTGGTAGAATGCCCCTGGGATCAATTCTCAGTACTGGGGGAGTGAGGGTGGGGGAAGGCAACAGAAGAATTCATAGCCTAATGGTTGAGATAGTAGCTGCCTGTTTCTATGTTCCCTTGCAAACTGATGCAGTAGTCCAGGAAAAAATAATGTGATAGAGACTCAATGACAGTATGAGATGAGAGACACAAAGTCAAGGTCTCCCAGGTTTCCAGGCAACTAGTAATTCAGAGTCATGGCATGGAGGAGGTTGAGGTGACTGGATATCGGGTATACATGTCCAATAGGCTACTGAATGTGCAGATCTGAAACTCAGAAAATAAATATGAGGTAGATGTTTTGAGAATCTATCTCCAATACGTGACAAAAGACTACATTGGCTATACTCAACAGTATGTTTTTTGGAAAGAATATGTTAGCTGAGATTTTGAACAGGTGGAGCTTTCATTCCTTATTTCTGCCTTTCAAGCCATAGCTATGATTTTGGGAAACTCTCCCGAACAATCCCCCGTATACTCATTCAGAGGTTTCTCTTTTGTTTCCTGAGCATCTTGTCATCATTTAATTATGGCACTTTCTGCATCAAATTGCAACAATCAACATTCTCATCCATTCCCAGTTAGACTGTGGGCCTTTGAAAGAAGGAACTGTGTTTTATGAAACAGAACAAACACAAAGTGGTAGAGTGCTGCCTAACATGTGCAAGACCTGGGGTTCCACCTCCAGAACTGGGGCAAAAATAAATAAATAAATAAAAAGTGAACAAATACACAAAGAAGGTAGGACAAAGCAGTTATATCATGTAAAAAGTCTTATGACCATGAAAGGGAATTTGTTGCAGGCACATCAAAGTATTTAAATAGGGGAATTGCAGGATGGGATTTGGGATTTAGAAATAGCACTCTGAATATAGTGTGGATTTTGGAATACCAGACAGAGAGAAGCTAGTAGACTAGAAGGTACATAACTACATTATAATGAGAAAACTCTAGGCCCGGCAGGGTCCCACACGTCTATTAATCCCAGTAGCTGGGGAGGCTGAGACAGGGGATTACAAATTCCAAGCCCACCTCAGCAATTTACCCAGACCCTACCTCCAAATAAAAAATAGATCAATGGAGCAGAGCTCCTTGGCGCAGGCCTGTAATACCAGCGGCTAGGGAGGCTGAGGGGGGAGGATTTGAGTTCAAAGCCAGCCTCAGCAATTTAGCAAGGCCCTACACAACTTAGTGAGACCCTGCCTTTAAATAAAATATAAAAAATAGATTGGGGATGTGGCTCAGTGGTTAAGCACCCCCTGGGTTCAATCCTGGGTACAAAAAAAAAGGAGGGTGGGGTGGGGAGAGAGAACTCTAATTTAAATTAAGGATACAAGTGACCTGAACTAAGATACACATGACCTGAACTAGGACTGTGTCCACTAGAATGGTGGTTAAAACTGGGGAAGGGGAGTAGTTTGGTTAGTTTTTTAGTCTTTCAAAGATCTAAAGTTATTTTTTTGAGGGGTGGGAAGAGGGAGGTGGGATGTTCATATCAGGTTGACCAACAGAACCTTGAGAAGTAGAGGGATTGAAACACTTTAGAAAGCAGCAACACAGAACCTCAAGCAGATCAAAATGTTAAATGTAGACTGTTCATAATCACCTACCTAATACCTACTCCACCCTGAACCAATATACTTCTGGTCATGCTGGGAAAACTGAATAGTTTAAAATCTTCTCAACCTTGAAAACACAAACCCACCGTACAGTATTATGTATTTAACATTTATTTGTCAAGCTGTATTCTAAATTGTTAATTTTTCCGGTGCTGGGGATGGTGCTACTTAAGGTTTATGGGTTGCATTATTTCAGCTTTGCTAAGATTCTGGGAAGCTAAGAAGTTAAAAAAATGTGCCCAAAGTGAAACTGGGGGTCGAATAAAATTAGTTTAATTCTAAAATACATGCTTCTAAGCATCTGGCTACACCTTCTCTCCAAAGGTTTTAGTCAGTTCAAACGAGCGCCGTTTTTCTCCACGAAAAAACCGATCAACTGCACCAGAACTGGAGAGAAGTCACCGAAATGGTGGTTCCGCGCAGGGCGTCGGTTCCTTTACGTCATCACGCTGCGCGGCCGCCTCGCGCATCACATGCTCTGGGAATTGGTCGGCAGATGGCGGGGTATGTAGGGTAGCAGGGATACGTGCCCTGCGTTTCTGTGGCGTAAGATGGCGCTGCACTTTGCACGTTCTTGGCGCTTGTACAGCTGGGGAGCCAAACGATGTGGGGCTGCCGCAGGGGAAGCCCGGAGAGGTAGGATTATTACTTTTTACTCACGTTTGCCTCCCAAAGTTTCTGGCTGTTATTCCCGGAAGCTGCTCAGACAACTTCAACCCTCTCTAGCCATCTCCCCTCCCCCTCTGCCTTGGTTTTTCGATTCTAACCCTCAGACCCTATCTACTGACCCAGTCCGAGTTTTTCTGCTCTCGGGACAGTCTATACTAAAATGATGACCCCCAGTCTTACCAGCTTGTTTTTCTTTTTTTTCGTGGGGCTGGGGATTAAACTCACCGGCGTCTACTGTTGGGCTATATCCCCACAACTCCTTTTATTTTATGAGACAGAGTTTCACTAAGTTGCCCAGGCTGGCTCAGAACTTGCAGACTTCCTGTCTCAGCCTTCTGATTAGCTGGTATTACAGGCGTGCTTAACTTCTCCTGGCTTCCAGCTTGCCTTTCAACTCTTCCTTGCTTCCTTGTGATCTCCTGAGTTTCCTGCTTCAGATCAGAATATAGCACCAGCCCTAAGGTTTTAACCACTGTCATCATCCAGTCTTTTTGCTCCGCCCGCAGGCATCAGTTTCAAACTGGAAGAAAAAACTGCCCACAGCAGTCTGGCACTCTTCAGAGGTGACACAGGTGTCAAATATGGCTTGGTAGGATTGGAACCCACCAAGGTGGCCCTGAATGTGGAGCGCTTCCGGGAGTGGGCAGTGGTGCTGGCAGACACAGCGGTCACCAGTGGCAGACATTACTGGGAGGTGACAGTGAAGCGCTCCCAGCAATTCCGGATAGGAGTGGCAGACATGGACATGTCCCGGGATAGCTGCATCGGTATTGATGATCGTTCCTGGGTGTTCTCCTATGCTCAGCGCAAGTGGCACACCATGTTGGCCAACGAGAAAGCCCCAATTGAGGGTATTGGGCAACCCGAGAAAGTGGGGCTGCTGTTGGACTATGAGGCCAAGAAGCTGAGCCTGGTGGATGTGAACAAGGTCTCTGTGGTCCACACGCTACAGACAGATTTCCGGGGTCCGGTGGTGCCTGCTTTTGCTCTTTGGGATGGAGAGCTGCTGACCCACTCTGGGCTTGAGGTGCCAGAGGGTCTCTAGTATGTCCATTATTAGAGTCCCTAATCATATTCTTGGCCAGTTTCCAACTGAAAGTATATGAAGACCTCTATCTCCCACAATTCATTGTTGGGTCCTCTGTGCAATATCTTAGTCATTTTCTGTTTCCTACCCCATGAAAGCTAGGCATATGGTCAAGGTTTCCTTCAAACTATCGTGGGTTTCCTGGGCACCACAGGTATAGTTTCCCATACTTTGTTCCTTTAGTCGCTGTGCCTCCCATACCTCAAAACTATTCAGTCTTAGGGTCTTTTAGCTTGGTTGAATTTATTCACTATGCTACCTCTCTCCCTTTATCTGTATGTTATTTGTTTGTTTTGGGGTTTCTATCAAATCTCTCCAGAGTAAATCCTTTCTACCTCTGGCTGGAGGAGTGGTGCAGTCAGTGACTTGGTCCTTCCTCTGCAGCACCTACAGAGTCTGGTCTCTGGTCCCTCAGTCTTTATTGACTCAGTGGGTCAGAGTGAAAACAGAACCCCCAAGTACCTCAGCGCCAAAGACCCGCAGCTCCACACAGATGGCAGCTATCCTTACCCTGAGTCCATTTAACTTCATTTGTACACCTCCTGTACCCAGCCAATCCATCATAATCATTGTGCCAGTTATAACTGTGACAAGGGGAAAAGAACTAGGGAGAAATCTAGGGGATTAGTGTCAAAAATATTATTCTTAAGAAGTTCCATCTTGGGCTGGGGATGTGGCTCAAGCGGTAGCGCACTCGCATGGCATGCGTGCGGCCCGGGTTCGATCCTCAGCACCACATACAAACAAAGATGTTGTGTCCGCCAAGAAGTAAAAAATAAATATTGAAATTCTCTCTTTAAAAAAAAAAAAAAAAAAGAAGAAGTTCCATCTTCATTTCTGACACAGTTAAAACTCCAGAGGAAGGAAGGCACCTAAGGTTTTGCATAGTCCATTTTTGGGTCTATTGAGACTCAAACACTCATTCCCCTTAGCAACATAATACACTGATCCTAAAACCGTACTTGGGGTTGAGGGTGAAGTAAGTGAATATGTACATGAAATGTGTATTGTTTGGGCTCTGTCTGACCCTGTGTTCTATCTTATTCTACCTTCTATGATGGTGATAAAGCTGGAATATCCTGAGGGAAAAAGAGAATGACTGAGTTTAACAAAAGTAATTTGTGTAATTAAAGTTTATTTGAGCACAAAATACTTTCTCTGTCTATAAAATTGCTGTAGCAGCAGCAGGTTCTGGCCAAGGGGGACTGATCTCTCCAGACTACTAAAGCTGGGTACATAGGCTCCCTCTTTCTCTCATTCTGATTTATACATGTGCATGGTAGCTAGAGTCCTTCCGTCGAAGTATGGTTTCTTCAAGAGAGGACTTGGCTGAAGACCTGTGATGGTTTTGAGTGGACCAAGCCATTAGACCATAATGCAAACTGTCCATGGATAGCTCTACAAGTGGTATCCCTTGGGGAAAGGGGTATTTTAACTCTCATAGAAAGCACTGGCCTATGTCACAAATGGCTTTCTTGGTCCCCACTGAAGAAACTCTCCATAATACTTTTTTGGTAGTTATGGATTAAGTGTGTGGCCAGCACATGCTTTTTTCTTGAGCAGGGACTGTCCATGATCTGTTATTCTCAAACCATGCTCTCTAAGTTCTCTTTGGACAGGGCCTCAGCTGCTGCCTCAGCCTGAGTCTCAGAGAGTGTGTAGGAGTCTTGGTAATCTTGAAGCAGTTTGACCACCTCCAGGTGGTTGAATTGCACAGCATCATCCAGGGGAATGTTGCCCCACCTGAGGAACAATGAGCAAGATCAGGCAAAGGAGACATGAAGAGTGATGTAGTTGTATATCTGTGCATGGTGGGTAGTGGGCAGTGTTGGAGAAGCTGTGCCACCCTCCCTTCCATGCCCCCCCCCCCCCCCGCACACTTTTTTTTTTAAAATATGTATTTAGTTGGTGATGGACCTTTATTCATTTATTTATATGTGGTACTAAGAATCAAACCCAGTGTCTCACACATGCTAGGCAAGTGCTCTATCACAGAGCCCCAACCCTCCCCCTTTTTAGCCTAATTTTTCTTACCTATCCTTAACAAAAGGGTTCACTTTGCAAGCCTCGATCAGAAATTTAACAACTTCTGTGTGTCCTAGGAATAGGGGCAGAAGGAAAATGATAGGCTACAGATCCTAAACCCATTTGTACAGACCCTTGGCAGCCAGAGACTGTTTTGAGAGGAGAAAAGGCCTCTTTCCATTTTGCTCCCTGTAAACACCCAATAATAGTTTGGCTGCCAGCTGAATTGTCAGAACTAGTTGTTGGCCCTGGAACCTTGAAGACACATAAAACAGGGTATCTTAGTAGAAAATAAGGGGCTTATGCTCTGCCACCCACTTAAATCCTTCAGATACCTTCAGCTGCAGCAACATGTAGAGCTGTGCGGGAGTCATAGTCTTTCTGTTCCATATCCATGGCTGACAAGGCAAACCTGAGGTAGTAGAAAGTGGCTAGGATTACCCAGATCAGTCTGTAATCACTAATGTCCTTTCTAATGTGGAGTCAGACTGGATGGGCTCCAGAAAAAGTGAAACAGTTAATGCTACAATCTGAAGGCTATATAATTTGTTCTAGATGAGACTATAATTCCCACTTCAGAGAAGTGAGATTGTGATGCTTCCAAAAGCATTACTGCCTACTTGTAGTACATGTTTGTTGATGTTGGTAATCCACTGAGGCAAGTTAACTATGCCCTTAACACTCAAGTTAATAACACTGTCATTTATTAAGTTCTTATGTGGTAGATACTTTGTTTAAAAAACAACAACAACAACAACAAAAAAAACCACTTAAATCTGCATCTATTCACTCTAGGCCTCAAGCTGAAGCACTTAACTGTTTTGCTATGTGGCCCCCTAATAAGATCTCTGACCAGCAGTATTTTTACTGTGAATATCTGGTTATGGTAAAATTACCTTCGAAGAGCTGAGACATCTCCACTATAGGCAGCAAACAACAGGTTTACCACAGTCTTGTTCTGGAAGGCAAATCATAGCCATCTGAGATTAATTGTGGCTTTGACTCTGCCCTTGCCTAGTTCTGCCTTGTGATGACCTCCATGGATGCTTAGGCAATGAAACATTACATCATAGTCTGTTTTGAAATAATCTTATAAGGAACCTGGGGTTTTCCTTACCCGAACTTCTCCCCCTTCACGTCGTGGGTCTAATTTCCGAGCACAGTGCCTCAGGTTGTCATAGTTGTGGAAGTTAAAGAGAGAGACCAACTTCTAGAATTGCAAGCCAAAGATATTGTTTACTTATTCCTTGCACTTGGTAGGAGCTCAAAATTGCTTTATTTACTTAAAGTAGCTACCACTAAATAAACATATTGCTTAATTCAAAAATATTAAGTGGGCTGGGGATGTGGCTCAAGCGGTAGCGCGCTCGCCTGGCATGCGTGCGGCCCGGGTTCGATCCTCAGCACCACATACAAACAAAGATGTTGTGTCCGCCAAAAACTAAAAAAAAAAATGTTAAAAAATTCTCTCTGTCTCTCTCCCTCTCCCTCTCTCTTTAAAAAAAATCATGGGAATTAAATGTCCATTAAATTGTATGGACAACCTGGGGAACAAATATAAATATATTAAGTACTACGTGCAGAATAACTCACCTGGCAAAAGTTGATGCCTCTATGACTGTTCCCCAGCTTGTCCAGTGGAGGTGACAGACACATCATTCCCATGACATTGGGTACCACCAGGAGGATGGCTCCTGACACAGCTGATTTGGCTGGCAGGCCCACCTGGGGAACAAATTTGAAGCTGAGGATGAGCTTGGGGTCCCCCAAATCTAGGAAAACAAACAAGGTAGGCTATTCTAAGTGACTGCATGGGCAAAGCCACAACCACCTCAACCTTTCAGACTTTTCTTATTCCTTGCGCTTGGTAGGAGCTCAAAATTGCTTTATTTACTTAAAGTGGCTACCATTAAGTAAACTTATTGTTTAATTAAAAAATATTAATTACTATGTACTTAATATTTATTTAATTAATTCATTGATAAAGTTAGGAAATGTTAATTGAAATATTAGCACTCTGCTAGCTAGAACTAGGGTAAAGTCACATTCTGGTGGTAGATGGTAGGCAATAAACAGGCAACAATAAATAATTACTACAAACTGAGAAGAAAAGGAAAGTGCTGTGACCAGCGGTGTAGGTGGACCCATCTGAGATAGGGAAGTTAGAAAAGCCTCCTGGCTGGGGATGTAGTTCACTGGTAGAGCTTGCTTGCATGGGGGAGGTCTTGGGTTCAGTCTCTAGCACTGAAGGAAAAAAAAAAAAGGGCCTCTCCTGAGAAGTGACACGGAAGCTGAGACCCAGAAGAGACAGCCATAGGAAGGGTTGCACAAGAGTGATTCAGAAGGTGCACCTTCATGTGTTTGTATTTGAGGAACGGTGTCTGACAACCTCCTGTGAGGATTCTCAGCCTAACAGCCTAGCTGGAGATTTCTGAATAAGAAGCAGGAACAAAATCCATCTCTCTATTTTCAGAGACCAGTGTCCTGTTTTGGCACAGGGCTCACCACTGATAGATGGCAGGGCCCAAAACACTCACATGGAAGGCAAACTGGCCCGAGAAGTCATACATGCCACAGGAATGCATGAGGCTGAGGGTGTTGCGCACTGCTTCAGCACTCAGAACGCTCTCGCCTGTGATGGGACAGATCCCACCATTGGCAAGGGTGGCTGCCATGACACTGCCTGATTCACAGGTGACTTCCACGGAGCACAGCTGTGGAGACAAGGGAGAAGTGAAGATGTAATGTGGATGTGAACATGGTGCTTTTGGGAGTAGAGCAGTGTTCTTAGCATCTAGATCTTTCAACAAATTGCTTGATATTCCTGACAGAACCATGTGAGGAGTGCCCATGTGAGTAAGAGAAGGAAGGCAGTCTGTCCTGTTTCCTTGGCCCTCAGGGTTTGCTTACCTGAAAGTAGAGATCAAGGGCAGCCATCATGTCCACCCCCTTAGGAAAGCACTGCAAGGAAGAAGAGGGAAAACATTCTCTTCAGGCCATTGAAAGCCCCTTTCTCACTCCAGGGTCTCAGCCAAATTTCCCAACCCCTACTATCCTTCCACCAGCAGCAGAATTCCCAGAAACTCTACTGGCCTTCCCAGTTACCTTCTTTTCCTTGAGATAATAGCCGATGGCATAATTCCGATCCCCTGTTTCCTTCTCTGACTGGAATCTGAAGCAAACACCCAATTTAGTGCTTAATATTTGAGAGGTAGGTATGGGGAGAAGGGGAAAAATTGCCTTCCCTGAGAGACACAGAACTACATCAGTGCCTTTATAACTTTTCACAGTAATATTAGAGGACATATCTGAACCTAAGCAAATACTCAGCATAGCTTTGTTGTAAAAAAACAAAAAACAACCCCTAAAGCTGTCTATTCATCTAGTCTTAAGAACACTGGTGAGACTCTGGCTTTGAGGTCTTGGCAAGGCCTTAGACACAAACCATCATGCTACCTCTCCATACATATTAACTAGAAATTGAACAAATTATTTCACAAAGTAAACAAATGTCAATGAAGGGGCTCAGAGGAAGCTAGGAGGCCAAAGTTCCTATGGAATTCCTCCCTAAGATCCTCTCATCCCTCCCCCAATCCCATGTGTACACACACCACCCAGTGTGTTCAGATAGTTCTGAACAAGGCCTTACGTGGCATTGCTGAAACCCATGAATTCATTTCCAGCCATTTTGTTCAGATATTGCAACACCTGGAAGAAAAGAAGGGCAAGGGAGGCTCACCTGACCGAGAACTCCTACTAAACACATCCCAGGCTGAACAGCTCTTCTGAACCACTCAGCCCTTATCCCAGCTTTGCCTGAGAGGACAGGGACTTCAAGAGGATTTCCTCCCTGAAGCAGCAGATGCCCACTCCTCTGGAAATAAGCCTTCTAGTATGGGTGCACATGATACTGGGTCTAGAGCCAAGTACTTGGGGCAGCTGGAGGGGTCAGCATGACATGGTGAAAGGCAGCTAGGAGCTGAGTAGCAAGGGAACTTACAAAATCAAACTTCTCTGCTTTGTTACAGTCCATCTACAGAAAAAGAGAGAGATGTCAGTGTCTCAAGCCAAGGAGGATGACAAAGGAAAAGTTCAAGCACTTAGTAGAGTTAAACTTGCTACTGGGGATATATTTTACAATGACCTTTTTCTTTGTGTCTCAAAGACAGGGTTTCACTGTGTTACCCAAGCTGGTCTCAAATTTATAGGCTCAAATGATCCTCCTACCTTAGCTTCCCGAATAACTGAGTCTGTGGGCACATGCCACCATGCCCTGGCAAACTTCTTTCCTTTTTAAACAACTGAGACCTTTTCTGGGGTGTGTGTGTACTGATTTTTTTTTTGTGTGTGTTTGTGTGGGGAGATTGAACCCTGGGCCTTGTGCATGCAAGGCACTATCAGCTGAGCTATATCCCCAACCCCTATATATTGATCTTAAAAAACAAACAATTTAGATTTTTTTTATTAAGGCACAAAGGTACAGATAGCTTCACACCCTCAGTGAGCCTGAGTCCCCCCACTTTCATTCTCTCTCTGAACCCTTATCTCTGACTCCCACTTTTATTTTCTTGCCTCCAGTCCTGTCTCCAAGTTCTACTCCTCTCATTCTCATCTTTTTTTTTTTTTATACCAGGGATTGAACCCAGGGGGCACTTAGCTACTGAGCCATATCCCCATCCCTTTTTGTATTTTATTTAGAGACAGGGTCACACTAACTTGCTTAGGGCCTTGTTGAATTGCTGAGGCTAGCTTTGAACTTGTAATTCTTCTGCCTCAGCCTCCTGAGCTGCTGGGGTATCAGGTGTGTGCCACTGCACCCAGCCCTGATTCCCATCCCTTAACATACCATGCTAGAACCTTAATTTAGCTCATTCTGACTCCCATGCCAATCCCAAGACTGAACGGAGTGACAGAAATCGGATGAGTATATCTGTTGCATATATTATAATATCCAACTATATTGACAGCTGACAATGAAGCTAAAGATTTTTTTTCCCCTTTTGGTGGTGCTAGGATCAAACTCAGGGTCTTTGCAAGTGCTCTGCCATGGGGCTACATCCCTAACCCTGAAGCTAAAGATTTTAGTTGAGTCAAGACCAATATGGCCAACTTAGATGGGAATGGGATGAAGCAGGTCCCAGAGACAGGGCTGTAGATAGAACCATCACAGAATAGTGATAGAGACTTGGCTTGGTTTCCTACCCCCAGACTCACTGCTTCATGCACAGGTCAGCTAGAGTCAACACCACAGGGACTCTGACACCTGAATTGCTGGGGGAAGGGTTATTAACACCACCTTCCCCAGGAGGGACTGTGATTGGCTTCAGAATGTTTCTGCCCACGCTGCTCCCAAGTTCTTGCTTAAGCCCTGGGAGACCTACAGCTCATATGCTTGCCTGACACCCTTGCTCAAGGCCAACTCACAGTTCTAGGTGACGTGAATAACTGCCCTGGCCTGGCCATTCACCCTTCTTTGCATGTTTCCCTCACCCAGAAGTAGCCAATCGGTGCTTAATAATGCTGTCCTCCCCCTGTCTCTGGCATTTGGCCCTTTATCCTAGGCAGGGGTCAGGATTTGCTCACTCCTCCAAGGGCCTGGAAGCTCTAGATTCTACTCATGGGTGGGGGCAGGGAATAATATAGGATGAAGGTGGAGGAGGTGATGCAGCCTCTCTTACTGGCATCCTCAGCATAACACACGGATCCCTGTTATGCTCATACAAAGCCTCCTGGGAACCCTTAAAGGAATCAGTATCCCACTGGTCTCCCTAGAGACCTTAACAGATAGGAGGGATATAGGAATAAGGGGGCTTAGAGAAGAGTACCTTTCAGAAAGTTAGTGTGTCACTGACCTTGATCAGGGAGCTGACAACAATGGCACCAGCATTGACCATGGGATTATGAGGAATTCCTGGGGAAATACAAATTGTGCAGGGTATTATCTGTCACTGAACAAAGACTCCTTTACAGCCTGCCCTCTCTGTAGGTTAAATAAGAAAGATTTCTTTGCTGGGGTAAAAGGAATATCAATGCTAATCAGGAAAAGCAGTGTTTACAGCCGTACCACTCTGATCATGCTTGATCGTCTCTGATCTCAGAAGCTAAGCAGGGTTAGGCCTGGTTAGTAGTTGGATGGGAGGAAAGGCAAAGAAACAAATGAAAAAGGCTTGGGGGAGGGAGCATGAATTTGTTCTGAGCTCTGGGGGTGCTCACCTTCCTCATTGAGGGAGAGTTTGTTGTAGCGCAGGCCGCTGGGCTCCTTGCCCACAAACTTATGCACGTAGTCAGTGCCTAGGGTGCTTATGGAGATGGCATAGGTGAGGGGCTTCACACAAGACTGCAGGCAGAAGGGGATCTTTGTGTGGCCCACAGAGTGCCTGGAGGCAGACAGGTGCAATGAAAGGGGTTGGCCTTTGTTCTGTACCTGTGCCCTTCCTCCCCTTCCTCTCACCTAGCATCTCACCGTTGTCCATCCACAGTACATAGGGAGACACCCCACAGGTCTGGGTTTGACTTGGCCAGGTGAGGGATGTAGGCCGCCACCTGGGCAGGAGTGGGTAGAGAAAAAGGAGAAAGATGGATGTGGAGAAGAGTATGGAGTTCAGGATCTGGAGAGTTTTTTTGAAAAAAGCTAAATTCTGACTCCAGCATGGCAAATGGATTCCCTTCTGTTTGTTGTTCCCAGAAACTCCAAGCCTTAAGTCCTAGGGGATCTTATCTATCTGTAGCCTCTGTCCTGTAGTGATGGCAATAAAGCTCATGGAAGGTTAAAAAGGAGAATTCTGGGGTCAGCTTCCTGTTTTGATTTTTAGACTCAATTACTATAAGTCTCTGACAATTCACTTGACTATGCTACTATCTCCACAGAAACCTAGGATTCCCTCACTTGCTCTAGGAACGTGTTTAGAAACACATGGAGCTATTTCCCCATTTTTAGAGGTTCTGCTTCTCATTTCGCATCCATTGGATTCCCAACCCCGGGAAGTCTCTAAGAATTAAGGTATATCTGGCCCAGAGACCTTGCCCCTCCCTTATTCCCCCCAGCCCTCACTTTGCCTCCAGTGAGCTCTTTGGCATCCTCAAAGATGCGATCCACATGGCCCGTGAACTCCTCAAAATCAGGAATGACAAACTTCTTTCGGAATGCCTGGGTCAGGAGCACAATGTTGCTGCTCACACACCTGGATCCCAGACACGATTGCATTAGGGGGCTGCAGACATACAGCAGGGACTCACTCTGGAGCCATGGAGGTTGGGAATAAAGAAGGTTGTAAGTGGTCATGTGGTTTGAGACCAACAGCTTTGGCAAGTCACTTTATCATTTTGGTTTTGAGTTTCTTCACCCCTAAAATGAACAATAGTAATAACATGGAAAGATACCTCAAGACATAACGTCTTGGGATATAAGAAAAAAATAATTACTAGAATAAGTATAGTATATCATTTTTATATTTTAGAAATCCTAAGTCCTATATTTATGTATATTCATATATATGTGTGACTACATAGGATATTATCTAAAAGATATCCACTAATCTGTTAACAATGTTTACTTCCAGGAAAAGGGGCTAGGACTGGGAGGAGAGGGAAATGAGAACATATATTTCTATATTGTTCAGACTTCATAATGAGTATTCATATATTACTTGTGTGATAAATAATAAAACAAAATGAAGTGTTGAATTATACAATCCCCAAGATTTCTATATGCTCTGATATCTGTGTCCACAGAACAGTTTTGAAAATAATGCCCTCATTTCTGGGGCCCTCACTTTTGGAAGAGATTTCGGTCCAAGAGGCCACCACTGCTAGACTCTTGGACCATGTGGTGCATCTGACTCATGCAGTCCCGGAGCCGGGGATCTGATGTCTGCAGTCCAGTGGCCTTCAGTGCCTTTAGGGGAAAGAAGAGGCCTGGTAAATTTAGCTCAAAGAATAGTATTTTAATCCTAATAGTCTTTCCCAATAGATACTCAGTTACCTCAATCCCAATTACTACAAAAGATAGAACAAATGGATTTGGAAACTAAAAGGGAATGAAGCAGCTTTGAAGGTTAACAAGGGATTCCTGCCCCTTTTCAGCTAGTTGTGTTTAATCTGGCCGTGGGGCAGAGATGGGATTGTCTCCTTAGCCTAGGCATCTGTTATTACCCATCTGTATTCTCTGCTCATGCAGTAACCCATTAGGTGTCCTGCATCTGTCCTACCCTCCTTTTCCCACTTTCCATAGATCTAAGGATTAGGGTTCAGAACAGGTAGAGGGCAACTTACACTAGTGAACTTGTGGATGGGGATTCGTTCCTGTCCCTCAGCAATAGTGTAGAAGAGCAGATCACCGAGGCGGGACAGCATGCCACACTCTGATGCATCACTGTTTGGGGGCAGAGATAGGAGAGGAGGGCAGGAGCCTGAGAATCACTCCTTGCTCCTCCTCCTTGAACATGGGCTGATCATTAGATGAGTGTCCTCATTCTGTGTCTCCTCCCTAAACCATCTGATCTGTCCTGAGAAGTTGTACTTCTCACTTTCTAGCTTTTGCTCATAACTAAGATCTTTATTTCTACCTGCCTACTTGACACTTCTAGACCATAGGCACTGAAAACTCAGCATGTCCAAACCTAAGTCATCTTACCTTCCCATCTCTTTTCTTCTTGTGTTTCCCATCTGGGTCAAATAAAATTACTACCACCTGGCTACTAGGCTGGAAATGCAGAACGATTTTGGTAGTTCCCATACCTTAAGTCCATGTTTGGTTGGCCACTAAAACTGGATGAATCTACCTCCATAATACCTCTCAAATCTGCCCTCTTCTTTCCCCCCAAGCAATATGGTATAGTAGAAAGGATCGAAAGTTGCTCCTTAATAGCTGTGTGATGTTGGGCAGATCACGTAATATTGTTGAACCTGCTTCCTAGTCTATAAAATAAGAGTGGTAATGTCTACTTCACATGGGTAATATGAGGCTAAATTAAGATCAAATTCCATGAAAAACTGTCTTAACACAAAGAGATGCTCAGTAAATCAGACCTCAGTAGCTCCTTGTTGTCTGTTACCTAATTGCCTCTATACACTCTTGACTCCCCAACTATCTTCTGCAATGTGCTAGCTATTTTTTTAAACTCAGAATAAATAAAAAACTTTGTGATGGCTCCCTAGTGCTTACAGAAGAAGTTATTTCTTGGTTTGGCATTCAAGGCTCCTTAGAACCTGCCAACTTGCTGGGTGCAGATAGTGTATGCCTGTAATCTCAGCCACTCAGGAGGCCGAGGCAGGAGGGCTGCAAGTTGGAAGCCAGCCTAAGCAAATTAGTGAGACATGGGGCTGGGAATGTGGCTCAGGCGGTAGCGTGCTTGCTTGGCATGCGCGGAGCGCTGGGTTCGATCCTCGGCACCACATAAAAATAAAATAAAGATGTTGTGCCAACCAAAAATAAAAAAAATTCTCTCTCTCTTTTAAAAAAAATTAGTGAGACACTGTCTTAAAATAAATAAAAAGGACTGGGGATGTAGCTCAGTGGTAAAGTACCCCTAGGTTCAATCCCCAGCACCAAAAAACCTGCCACCTTTCTTTTGCTATTCCACACCATTCTCCACACTCATTATGAGAGGTTAATAGATGGATCCCCAAATGGGCCAGGACTGTGAGGTTTCCTGGACTTTACATATGCTGTGATTTCTGCATGGAATGACCTTCTTCTCCTTCAATTAGCATAGTCCTGTTCATCCTTCAAGGTCGAGTTCAAATGCCACCAACTCTGTAATATCTCCCCAACCCTCCAGATTTTACTTATGTTGTTGCTGGGGTGGCACATAAACCATTTTACTGTCAGAGGACTCTTCCCTTGTTCAACTAGGTTTTTGTCTTCCTATCTTTGAGCAAAGTGGATCTTGGATAAGAATTATCATGTTACATTGTTAGGAAGGTCCCTGTACCCCCCAAATCTCTCTCTCAATGGCTATGGCACCAAAAATTCTTTAGGCACCAAAGACTTCTTGATCTTCAAGAGTTCCTCTATTAACAGATTTAGAGGAATGATATCAGATCAAATATGACAGTTGAGATTTAGACCCTTCAAAGCCCTTTGACCCAATAACTTGGTTTCCAGGAATATATTCACTTATCTATAAAGTTACATATTCATTGCATAATTAAAAAGATTTAAAATAACTGTGCATTCGTAGGGAAATAGGTAAATTATGAGTTTATTCATATAATGGAATGTTATGCCCTGTAAATAAAATGAAATTAGGGACTGCTTTGAGTACTGATCTCTAAGATGTAATATTAACTAAAGAAGCATGTTTCAGAACAGTGTATGCAGAATGAAACTATTGATGTTTAAAAATATTCCAGTACAAAATATTTCTGGCAGGACATATAAGAAACAGGTAAAATTCATCTCTAGGAGAAGTAGTTGGGGCTGAGCAAAAAGGGTGGGAGGGATATTTTTCACTATAATATCTTCTATACTTTTGAATTTTGAACCATATAACTATATTGTCCGTGAAACAAGACACTAAAAAACTAAAGATTCTCAAGAAGCTTGGCATAGAGTAGGCATGTGTGCTTTTCGGACCAGGAGGAACACCAGAAGGGGAAGGGTTCCAATTTTGGAGGAAACTGTCAAAATGCTAGTATCTGTAGGAAAGGGCGGGGCGGGGGGAGCCATATGAGGGATAATTAAAAGAGGAAAGTTTGTAGGGATGTTTGGTTATTTTGTTTTATGTTTTGCAGTATGGGAGATTGAACCCAAGGCCTCAGGCATGCTACAAAAGTGCTCTACCACTGAGCTACATTCCCAGCCTTTGTAGGAACACTTTGAAAGCAGGTCTCTGTGCCTGAATGCTGATAGATAGGAAATAATGCCACACCATTTCTGAATGTCTCAAAATTCTTTAAAAAACTGCATATTTTGGGGGGGAAGTATTGGGGGTTGAACTCGGGGGCACTCAGCCACTAAGCCACATCCTCAGGCCTGTTTTTTTTTTTTTTTTAGTTGTAGATGGACACAATAGCTTCATTTTATTTGTTCATTTTTTTTTTTTTTTAATGTGGTGCCGGGGATTGAACCCAGTACCTCAGGCATGCTAGGCAAGCGCTCTATCACTGAGCCACATCCCCAGACCACTCAGGCCTGTTTTGTATTTTATTTAGAGACAGGGTCTCACTGAGTTGCTTAGCACCTCACTTTTGCTGAGGCTGGCTTTGAACTCGAGATCCTCCTGTCTCAGCCTCCTGAGCCGCTGGGATTACAGGCGTGTACCACCATACTACACTAAAAAATTGCATGCCTTTTGATTTAGATATAGACTGATCACCAATATAATGTTGAAGGGCAAAAAGGTATAGAATAATGTGTACAGTATAATATCATTTATTAAAAAGACAATATTAACATGTATTATGTGCATTAAAATATCTCTAAAAGACTATAGAAGATATTAATGTCAACAGATGTCTCGGGAACAAAATTTCCTAGGAATTTACTCTTAGGAAATAATTGTGGGCTGGAATTGTGGCTCAGCAGTACGCCTAGCACGGGTGGGACCCGGGTTTGATTCTCAGCACCACATAAAAATAAAGGCATTGTGTTGTGTCCATCTATACCTAAAAAATAAATAAATATTATTATTTTTAATTTATTTTTAAATATGTATTTTTAAATATTATTTAAATATTTATTTTTTAATATTATTTATTTATTTTTAAATATTATTATTTTTAAAAAAGAAATAATTGTGGCTCAGTGGTAGAGTGCTTGCCTCACACGTGTGAGGCACTGAGTTCAATTCTCAGCACCACATATAAATAAATGAATAAAATAAAGGTCCATCAACACTAAAAAATATTTAAAAAAAAAAGAAATAATTGTGAGGTGCTGGGGTTGTGGCTCAGTGGTAAAGCTCTTGCCTCGCATGTGTGAGGCCCTGGGTTCGATTCTCAGCATCACATATAAATAAATAAAATAAAGGTCCATCAACAATTAATAAAATATTTAAAAAAGAAATAATTGTGAACCAGGCATGGTGCATACACCTGTAATCCCAGTGACTTAGGAGGCTGAGGCAAGAAGATCATGAGTTCAAAGTAAACCTCAGCGACTTAGCAAGACTCTGTCTCAAAATATCTTAAAAAAAGGGCTGGGGATGTGGCTCAGTGGTAGAATGCCCCTGGGTTCAACCCCTGTACCAAAAGAAGAAAAGAAAAATATAGTGAAATTATTGTTGAAAGTACACAAAAGAGTCTATAGTAACCAAACTGAAGATTGATTAAGTAAGTTGTAGTAATGGTCCTGGGAATGTGGTTCAGTGATACAGTGCATGCCTAGAATGTTTAAGGCCTTGGATTTGATTCTTAGCAATACAAAAAAAAAAAAAAAGTTGTGGCAACTCATACCATGGAATCTTTTAAAATGGTAAAATGGCAGCTATTAAAATTGATGTCATATATACATATTGAAAGCCGTTCAAAAATAGAAAAGTAGGTTACCAAAGGATATGAGTATGATCTCATTTTTGTTATATATTAGATATATATGGAAATATCACAATATTTTTTTGGTGGTAGGGATTGAACCCAGGGCCTAGTCATGCTAGCAAGAGCTCTACCAACTGAGCTATATCCCCAATCACCCCTTTTTTTCTCTCTTTCTTTTTTTTTAATATTTATTTTTAGTTGTAGTTGGACACAATACCTTTATTTATAGTAAAACATTTTATTTATTTTTATGTGGTGCTGAGGATTGAACCTAGGGCCTCGCATGTGCTAGGCGAGCACTCTACCACTGAGCCACAATCCCAGCCCAAATCCACTTCTCAGCTTGCTTTTCTTTCCTTTTTGGTGGTGCTGGGGATTGAACCCAGGGCCTTGTGCATGCGAGCCTTTTTTTCTTGATACTATTTTTATCTTTCTTTTCTTTTTGAGATGGAGTCTTACTATGTTGCCCAGGCCAGCCTTGCATTTTCATTCTTTCTTCCTCAGCTTACTAAGTAAGTAGCTGGGATTACAGAAGCACATCACACACTTGGCTTCTTGTTTTTCTTTTAAAAATCAGAAATACAATAAAGCTACATGTTTTTAAAAATAAACAATAACCTGAATAACAAGACTTCCTTCACCCCCCCAAGTCAAAATCCTATTCTTCATGGTGCAACACTCTCAGCGGCCATCACCCTCCAGTGCTGCCAACCCTTCTGCCCAGGGAGCAGCAGTCCAAGGCCATTACCAAGAGGTTTCCTGGAGATGGAGCAGCCACAGGCAGGAGAAACTTGTCCCCTAAAAACACTGTTACCCTATTCACTAGATGCTGGTGTGTGTGTAGGGGAACCAGGGATGCTTCTAGCTCCCACTCTAAAGGAGAAGGATAATAGGCTTTGCTCTATCCTACCACTCTTCTCCAATAGTTATCTGGGAGGAGGGGAGGTTGGAGATTGAACAGGAAGGAGTGGTCTTATCCTTTAAATGTTCTATGTCTCTTTGAGAAAAGTAGTGGAAAAGTAGTGCATAATAATGATTATTAATAGTAAACAATTGCCAAGCGTGGTAGCACACGCCTGTAATCCCAGCGGCTGGGGAGACTGACACGGGAGAATTGCAAGTTTGAAGCCAGCCTCAGGAATGGTGAGACACTAAGCAATTCAGTGAGACCCGTCTCTAAATAAAATGAATAAAAGGGCTGGGGATGTGGCTCAGTGGTCGAGTGCCTCGGAGTTCAATCCCCGGTACCCCTTCCCCCACAAAAAAATTAAAAAAAAATAGTAAACAATAGTTATTGGTCTCCCAGTACCCTTCAAATACTTATTGATTTATTACCTCTCAGGACTGGAACTTCAGTGGTGGTGAGGCAGTGCTGTTTTTATGGCTATTTTAACTACGGTATACATATGTTTCTGAGTATCATCAGATGTCAATGATAAAACAGAGAGTCCATTTCCTGTTACAGCTATAATAGGGTAGGGGTTACTTGGACTGGGTCTAGCTCACCCTCTGAAGAGGGCAAAAATTTCTTATTCAGCATTATTTGTGTCTCAGAGAGAGGAAAAAAAGGAAAAGGTTCAGCAACCAAGTATTTCTGGGTGACCGGGAAGAGAAGTTCCACCTGGGAGTGGGAAGCAGAAGTACCCAAAGGAGAAGAATCCTTCAAATTAGGGAGCCTGAGCAGCATAAATAACAGCTCTGACTAGCTCTGATTTCTGCATCTCATGATTCCCCTCACCATTATAAATATTCTCCTCATTCAATAGTTTGGAAAGATATCCTTATTCTACAGATAGGGGACCCTGCTATGCACACACCCAATACATACGCATGTATTTGCGCACCAATAATAAGCGCCCATCACACTTTGCCTGCCGAGTACGCGCAGAAATAAGACACACCACGTAGACCCAAGTACACTTGGACCTAAAACAGGAGGCTGTTTATACCCACACATCCCCTAAAATACCTAGGAGAACCCGAGAGGAAAAGAAGGGGAGGATGGGCGGGCCTGCACACGGCCCCACACTGTGACACGTGCACCAAGCAACACTCTGCGCCCATTCTGCATTCCCATTTAAGTACGCACCTTGGACAGGCACCATCTCGAAGACCGACCTGCCCAAACGCCCTCCCGGGCGGACGGCACGTTACCGCCCGAGCTCGGCGGACCCAAATCCCCAAATCTAAAGGAAAAGGCATCGCAGGCTAGTGAGCGAGAAGAGGGGAGATGTGATGCGCTCCCTGGGGACCGGGATTCGGGCGCTAGCGAGAACGACAGTGGGAGTGGGAGCAAGCCTGTCCCCTGCCCCTGTCCCGCGAGCCTTACTGATCCTGGTGCTGTGGCTGGTGGCTGTGCGGCGTCTCCCTGCCCTGTGCCGCTGCCTCACTGAGGTGGTGTCGGACGCCCCAGCCAAGGAAGGGGCTCCGGCTCAGGTGACCCCAGCCTCCCCGCTGGCAGCGACTGCCAGCTCGGCTCAGTGCATTCTGCAGAGCTCTCATGTAGCGCATGCCCCCGGCGCGCTGCCGGCTCTGCCCGAGCGCCCAGGACGTCTGAGCGTTGGCTGGTAGGGAGGGGGTGGAGACGTTGCGAGCTAGACAAGGTGTGGGGGAGCTGAGTGAGGGAGTGCTGAGCCTGGGAGGTGAAGAGGGGCCGGGTGGGTGGGGCTGGAGCTGGAGGAGGGGCCAGTCCCTTCTTGACTCCGGTCGGCGCCAGATTAACTTTCTTCCTAGACAGGGGATGGATGGGCTAGGAATGCCAGTGACTGGGAAGAAGTGGGGCTGGGGTCTTGGGGGTGGCGAAGAGAGGGCGGTGCCCGGGAGTCGAGATAGACAGTGCACAAGTCCAATAATTGAGGGAGAAGAAGAAGAAAGAAAGAAAAAAAAAAAGATGGTGGGGCTGGTGGGCGGGGAGAGGATGAGGTTACCCAATGAAAGCAAGGAGGTGGGCTGTCCGCGAGAGCCTGCAGATTCTTCTGCTCACTGGCTACTGCAGCGAGCATTGAGTGCAGGTGTAGTGGGCGGGAAAGCTAGGCAGAACGTCTGCAAAACCCTGGGACTCCACCTGATCGAGGCGGGGTTAGGAACTATGGAATTCTCTGGTAGAGACGAGAGCGGTGCCTTGAGAGAGAAGGATGAGAGTGAGCCCTATTTAGGAATGACTTAATGACCTTCGACGTTCAGAGGTCAGAACCGACCCTCGGTAATGCGCTTCACAGTGCGGCCTGCAGGCCAAAAGAGTCGTAGTCACTGACGCGCGGTGGTGGTGGTGAGTGGAGTCGGTGGCCACAAAATACCTCATCTGGAAACAGCCGCTGGGCTGGGGATGTAGCTCAGAGCGCTTGCCTAGCATGTGTGAGGTCCTGGGTTCAGTTCCCAGCAAAACACACAGGCGCGCCCCCAACACCAACTAAGGAGACAGTGGGGCAGAGGAAAAGCCTCCTTGGTGGTGGTTAGGATGCTTGGGTTATAGTTTTACCTCTCATTTATTTTAGCTTCTCATTTATTTTGTTTTCTTATCTGTAAAGTTCAGACATTGAAATAAGGAAGTGCACATGAAAATGTTTTATAAACTCTTATGCGCATCTAGAATTTTGGCTGTTTTAATCGCTTGTCCTTGTTTTCCTCATTGAGAAGAGGTGAGGTACAAAAATAATTTTGAAAACCAAGAACGCTCAGAAATTTTAGCATCTGCAACTTTCATCTTGTACTTCAACAGCGCCTAAAAACATCTATATTTTGTAGGATTTCGGTAAAGAGCTATTAGGGGGTGCCGACCACTTAATTTATCTCTCCTTAACAGAGACCTGCTAAGCAGTTTTTAGTCTGATTTTGAAGATGAGGAAACTAAGATTTAGAAATTATGACTTCTTGCATAAGGTAACCCAGGGCATAAGAACCACAGAGCCAGAAATTAGAACAAAGCCTCTGGCTACAAGACTCTTTCTCCTTCATGCAGCCCTTCCCCCAAACTAACAATTTGAATTGAATTACTCTAGCAGAAATAACCCTGTCCTTAAAACAGGAATTTTCTGTATGATATAGTACTGAAGGCCATTTCTTGAGGTACCTCTGTCTATACCATAAAATACTATTTTTTTTTTTTTCTTTTTGGGTTTGAAATAACCCCCAAGACGCAACCATGGAGCCAAGCGCGGTGGCACATGCCTAATACCAGCGGCTCCGAAAGCTGAGGCAGAGGATGGAGGGTTCAAAGCCAACCTCCTCAGCGTGGTGAGGCGCTAAGACCCTGTCTCTATAAATAGGTCTGGGGATGTGGCTCAGTGGTCCAGTGTCCCTGAATTCAATCTCTAGTTCCAAAAAAAAAAAAAAAAAAGGTGTACGTGGGAAACTGAATATCAAAACCATGCTCTTTTGTGGAGCATGTTGTGTGGAAAGGCAGTTCTCCTTTTCCTTGGATAGGGTTGGAGGGGGTTTATTTGGTTTGAAACCAGATGGAGTGACCTCTTTTTTTTTTTTTCCCCTGTTTATTTTTCCCTTTTGTAACCATTCCCTATATGCCCTATCTGTTCTCCTATCAGTAGAACTCCCTCTAATTTAGGACTCCAGCTTGCTGCCTTATGCTTGGCTTTGCGTGAGAGGCAAACTTCTGTGTCTTAATACTAAATGTAGATTCAATTTAGTATTAGTTTATATATATATATATATATATATATATATATATATATATATATATCTGGCTAATCTTATCTTTGTTTCATAGGAATATTATTTCTCTGAAGGTTTTTGATCTGTTCAAGAGAAAAATAGCATACCTTGGGGAATTTCTAAATATTACCAGAAGTTATTTGCTTCCTTTTTTCCTATCACTGCTTCTTTAAATTAACTTTAATTATAGTTAGTAATGAGTTTCTCCTTCTCTACACTTATATTGATAGAAACTGATTGGGCAGTGAAAAAATATCTGGTGGTAGATTGGTGGTTCTTTGCATAGAGAACCAGCCCCTGCTTACTTTAACCTTTGAACTGATTTTGCCTCCACTACAAAATGGCTGCCTAGGCATGAAGATGGAGCATGAACTGGTGAGTTGGAAGGCCCCATAGGGTTGAGTCAAGTATAAGATACTCAAGAACAAATTTGTGCCAGGTGTGGTGGCCCATGCCTGTAATCCCAATGATTTGGGAGTTTGAGGCTGGAGGATCACAAGTTCAAGGCCAGCCTGGGTAACTGAGCAAGACTCTCAAAAAGTAAAAAGGGCTGGGTGGTAGAGCACCCCTGGGTTCAGTCATCAGTACCATAAATAAATAAATATTTTTTTAAATGAAGTCATCTCAGGTGGTTAAAACTTGGCAGCATCATGTTCTTTTTTTGTTTCTAATTTGAAAAGGACACATCTAGTTTCTATATTAAAGAATTATCCAACTCTGACCTGGGCAACTACACATGAGGGTTTTCATAGGTAAAATAAAACTTTCCTGTGTATCTCCTTTAATAGTGGACTATTTTTTTAAAGATTTTTTTTAAAGATGGACACAATATCTTTATTTATTTTGTTTATTTTTTATGTGGTGCTAAGGATCGAACCCAGTATCTCGCAAGTGGGAGGCAAGCACACTACTGCTGAGCTATAACCCCAGCCCCTGGATTCTTTTATTTATTTATTTATTTTATTTTTTAGTTGTAGTTGGATACAATACCTTTATTTTATTTATTTATCTTTATGTGGTGCTGAGGATTGAACCCAGGACCTCGCACCTGATAGGCAAGTGCTCTACTGCTGAGCCACAATCCCAGTCCAATAGTGGATTCTTTAAGTCAGTCTTTGGCTGTGCCAGAATTTCATGGTATATGAAGGAGGATTGGTCTTAATGGTTTTGAATCCTTAAATTAAAAAGAGCTAAATTATCTGAGGTACAAAATAGGAAACTTGATGTTTGTGTTTGAAGACTTTATTTTTTATGATTTAGATGCTCTCATTTGTTCTACTCTATAGAATATAGCTGGGAAGTTAGTCCAATTGAAGGATTTCACATTTTTTTCACTATTAGTCTTTGTTAATGGTGCTATTGGGCAAACTCCTTACTGCCTTAGTTTCTCTATTTGTAAAAGATAAACTTGAATTTTACTGGGTGATTGTACATTCTGAAATAATCGGCTTCCATTAACTCAATGAGTATCTATTTGTTGGACTATAGTGTGCTAGACCATGTGCTGGAAAATCCAAAAATTTAAAAATTAGGGCTGAGGCTGTGGCTCAGCAGTAGCACATTTGCCTGGCATATATTAAATGAAGGTCTAAAAAAAATGAAGGTCTATCAACAACTAAAAAATATTAAAAATTAATTAATTAAAAACCATTTTAATTAACCATAATTTTGGACTGGTCTTTCATTTCTGGTTTTGGGAGAAATGAGAAATGAGAAAGCTAATGTGTAAAATTTCTAATGAAAGATTCTGTGATGCAGATATTCAGAAGGAAGTATAAAGAAGAAACACCTAACTGGGCTAGGATGAAGGGCCATTGAGTTAAAAGGGGAGAGAACCAATTCTTGGGTATTCTAGACCAAGAGCTGTGCAAGAACAACCAGTGTGAAAGATACATTTGAGAGACTCTTAATTTCTTTGGAGTAAAAAGTGGGTATAAGAAAGTGTGAACCACCAAAGCTGAGATGTAGGTGGGAGCTACATGTTTTAACATAATGTTAGACTCTCATGGAGAAGATGAAATTTCATATCAGTTCAAATGTATTTGTGAATTATTCCACTGTGCTTTCTTAGTTCCTCTTTAGTTTAACAATTACAAAACCAAATTTTATAGGACTGAAATAATATCATAAAGAATTGCTGTTTGAATCTACAAGGCTGTGAGTGGCTCGTGATTTTGTGCCCAGCCAGACTGCGGCATTTGGTGGCCCGTACAGGGAACATCTGAAGAGAAGGTAAGTGAAATTGCTCGCCCCTGAAGAAGAGCGAAAGAATGGGTGACCATTTCAAAAAACAATATGTTCTTGTTTTGATTTATTTTGTTTTTATTTCAAGTTGCCTGTTCCTAGAACTTTCTCAGGCAAACTGGGGAAAATGGTTCACTCAAGGTTTGAAGTTGTTCACCTCCGAGGAAGAGAAATTGTTAGAGAAAGGAGGCACCCCAGTAAGACCAAATTACAAAACCAAATTTTATAGGACTGAAATAATATCATAAGCACGTTTAAAAAGAAACTGTATCACATTGGTCCACTTACAATGACTATTCATGCTGTCTTTCTTTTGCCAAATAATGCCTTTTTTTTTTTGGTACCTAGGATTGAACTCAGGGGTACTCACTAAGCCATATCCCAGCCCTATTTTGTGTTTTATTTAGAGACACTAAGTTGCTTAGTGCCTCACTAAGGCACTAACTCAGGGGTACTCACTAAGCCATATCCCAGCCCTATTTTGTATATTTTATTTAGAGACACTGAGTTGCTTAGTGCCTCACAGTTGCTGAGGCTGGCTTTGAACTTGTGATTCTCCTGTCTCAGCCTCCAAGCCTCTGGGATTACAGGTGTGTGCCACTCTGCCCGGCCAAATAATGCCTCTTGTAATCTAGTTTTTCTGATGGCCATTAAAACCAACTATAGCAAGTCTGAATCATTAAAATATGCCAAGAAAATGTGGATTTCTATAAGTATTCCTAAAATATATATTTTTAAGTAATAGGTGGATGCAATACATTTATTTTGTTTATTTTT